ACAAAGTAATGCTGAATATTTACAAATTTCTGTCTATGCACATATAAGGCAACAGGGATTAGGGTAGTGCGCACCGTCACGAAGGTGGCTGACAATTTAATGAATCCTCAAGTAAATACAATGGGAAGAAGTCCAAATTACTGCTACTATGAGTTGACTTAAAATGTTGTTAAGTCGACTGATAACACGTGTCAAAACAACGAGAGTAAAGGTAACTATCAATGAAACAATCAAGTCCAGATAGGAACAACGTATTTTCATCATTTTTGGTTTGCAGGTAGCTGAGAGAGAGTCGTACATAATTAAAGCAAATTATGCAAATAAGAACTTAAATTTGCATAATTAATGAGGAAACTCTGTTATTCCAGTGTTCTACATAAAAGGACATTGATACCATAGATATATTATGCTAACGTTGAGGTCATTAGCACAATTAATGATGAAATGAACATTTACATATTAAGTAAATATTTCATGGAGATGTGAGGTCTCTGAACTCTTGTTTGTATTTACAACTAGAGTTCGGCGATCTCATACCTCCATGAAATGTTTAACGCTTTTGTAAATCTTACGTGTAAATGGCTTACATTTACAATCTTGCTCACTAGCAAATTTTTGTGCAAACTATTCACATGGTCCCTACCTAGTAACATGTAACACACTGGTGAAATCCTTATCATTTGGCATGGACAAGGTATATTATTGTCGGTTATATGCAGACTAGAGACTAATTTTCAGGTTTCATAAACGAGTTCCACGGCCTCATACATATACCTTTGCCAAATCATGTTTATTGTTCAAACTGACAGAACATACATTTTTCATGGTGATTATGCAAATTTAAGACTCATTTTCATGAATAATATCAGTTGACCATATTCCCCACCCAATGACAATCTTATATTAAGAAAAAAGGCTATTCTATCATTTCCTTATAAATTATGCAAAGGAGGTCCTGATTTGAATAAATTATGTTTACGATGGTCAACTTCACCGACCTTCCAAATATGAGAAGTATTCAATTGCCAACAGTTGCCACATAAAAATTGTAGCAATTTGCCATTTATTATGCAAATAAGGTCTTTATTTACATAATGTACATCTGCCAATGTTCTTGTTGTTCTTAATAACATATGTCACAAGTGTTTCATAGCCCTTAAATATCGAGCACAACAGATTTATAAAATTTCCTCATTAATTGTGCAAAATTAGATCCCGATTTGCATAATTTTATCACTCAAGCTACCTACATACCAAAAATCACGATGATCCGTCAACTGGTTTCTTAGTTATTCTTTCTTGACGATTTTTATACAGACTGGCCTGCAGTTCCAGAACAAGCTGCTAGGGGGCCTAAACTCACGTGACTTCTTCACGAGCACAAAATCTACCTACCACCCAAAAATTCATGACCCTAGCATGTTTGGATCACAAGATATCAAAACCGGAAGTTCTGCTGCAGTACTAAGGAAAGCCGCTAGGGGGCCCAAAATCTTATCATTTCCAGTTTTCGTCAGACCCTACCAATGCACCAAGTATGAAACCAATCCATCTAGCCGTTCTTGAGTTATTTTGTTGACCAACAGAATGACAGAATGACAGACAAACGCAACTGAAAATATAACCTCCATGACTATTTCATGAAGGAAATTAGCCTTCGTTCAATTTGCAATAGAATTATTTTTAGTATTATGAGATCCCATACATGGATTTTTACATTGTGCAGAACCTAAAGGTTCTCGCAATGTTGGACTTCTCAAGCGTTGTTTCTAACTTTATGCCATTCAAAACTATAACTAAATGTAGTGTTGGGCTAACACTCAAGAACGAATCTCACACAGACCGACTTTTCATGACTGTATTCTACGGTGTTATTCTGTACAGTGACTGTAGGATGGTAAAACATCTGTTCTCTATTACTATGCATGCGTGGGCAGGGTTGTGGGTGGCTTACTCTAAACAGTAGCTGGTTTCACATCAATACACTAAACATTTGCCAAAAAGTCTTTTTTTTCAATTGTCACACGTTTAGGGTCTAATTCTGGTATGTGTTCTTATTTGCATGATTATGTTTTACTTAAGATCTGTTTTAATTCCACCCTCAACACACATAAACGGTTTTTCAGCGTTTATTACCTTCGCCAAGAATTATTACCTTCGCCAAGAATTGGCAGAAGGTTATGAATCGGCGTTAGTGTGTCTCTGTGTGTTTCTGTCACCGCGATAACTCGAGAAGGCTTAGATGGATAGTCTTGATATTTATTAGGCGGGTAGGTCTTGATGAGACCTCGAAATGATGAGATTTTGGGCCCCCTAGCGGCTTTCCTTGATACTGCAGCTGAACTTCCGGTTTTGATATCTCGTTAACTGTACATGCTAGGGTCACGAATTTGGGATGGTAGATAGCTCGTGGGCTAGGGAAGAAGTGACATAAGTTAAGGCTCCCTAGCAGCTTGCCCCGGAACTACAGGGGCGTTTATTGAATAAAATTAAAAGGGCGATAACTCAAGAACTAGTTGACGGATCGCCATGATTTTTGGTATGTAGGTAGCTTGAGTGATGCTTGACATAACTTAATGACAATTATGCAAATCTTAATGTAATTTGCATAATTAATTAGGAAATTCTATAAATCAGCTGCATTCCGTGATATGACTATTCAACCTTGTGGTCTCGGACCGGAGTTTTACGATTTTTGTATCCGTCGGACACCCCCAGGCCGAAGGGCTACAAAAGTAGGCCGGAAAATGTAATTATATCCGTGAAGAGAGGTTTCCAGCCGACTTCCGATAGATTTTTGGGTATCGTCTGTTGACTCTTCAATTCAGGTAGAAACTGTAGTGAAATGTAAATTTTGGTTTCAAAAAATATCGTTTTTTACCATTTTTTCAACGGAGCTGCAGAGAAAAAACGAATTTTCCCTGGGTAACGGCCTATATGATAAAAAAGCTTACTACTTCATGTTTCTGAAAAATGAATAAAAAGGAAATCGATGCGATAAGTTTCCCGCAATCTCCGGTGACGCAAATACATTGAAATGACATATAGAACGCAGCTATTTGGGTCATCAGGCGACAAAACCGCATCACCCTTGCTCGCGGACTAATACCAAAAACGCTCCGCTGGCCGGCCAACTTTACTACGCCTGAAAATACTACAATCCACGGGTTTTTCGGTAAATACGAAACCTACTGGATTTTGTATAACGATCACCGAGCAATGGGGAGCGAAACGTAGCGTGACAACCACCCAGATCCGGCGATTTACTTCCGCACTTTCTTATCATCTGGTCAGATTTGAACTCCGACCCGGAACCTTGTAACACATGTAATTGACAACGAGAGAAACTTAGGCAGATATTAATTATGTAAATGAAGACCTAATTTGCATAATCAATGCAAAAATGTTATGATTCGATAGTAATAGAAAGTTAAGTGAAGGTGAACATCATTCAACATAAATTATGCAAATATTGACCTCATTTGCATAAGTTATGAGGACTTACTGGTGTGTTTCCTAAGATGTCGGTACATAGATGATTTCCTTGCTGCAGAGTAATCACACTGGTCACACTTGTAGGGTTTTTCTACTTTATGCGTGTTCATATGTTGAGATAACCTTGATCTCTCAGCTGTTCTGTATCCACACTTTTCACACATGTAAGGTTTGTCACCGGTGTGCCTCCTAAGATGTAGGTCTAAACATGATTTCCGTGCTGCAGAATAGTCACACTGGTCACACTTGTGGGGTTTTTCTCCTGTATGAGTTCTCATATGTCGGGATAACCCTGATCTTGCAGCTGTCCTGTACCCACACTCCCCACACATGTAGGGCTTCTCACCGGTGTGTCTTGTTAGATGTTCGTCTAAATGTACTTTTTGTGCTGCAGAATAATTACACTGATCACACTTGAAGGGTTTTTCTCCTGTATGACTTTTCATATGTCGGGATAACATTGATCTGTCAGCTGTCCTGTAAGCACACTCCCCACACATGTAGGGCTTCTCACCAGTGTGTTTTGCTAGGTGTAGGTCTAAACATGATTTCCGTGCTGCAGAATAGTCACACTGGTCACAATTGTAGGGTTTTTCTCCTGTATGAGTACTCATATGTTGAGCCAACACTGATTTGACAGCTGATCTGTATCCACACTCCGCACACATGAAGGGTTTCTCACCGGTGTGTTTTCTAAGATGTCTGACTAAATTACTTTTTTGTGCGGCAGAATAATCACATTGGTTACACCTGTAAGGTCTTTCTCCAGTATGCGTTTTTATATGTTTTGATAACCTTGATCTGGAAGCCGTCCTGTATCCACACTCCCCACACATGTACGGCTTCTCACCAGTGTGCATCCTAATGTGTCCGACCAAATAGGACTTGTTTGCGGCAGAATAGTCACACTGGTCACACTTGTAGGGTTTTTCTCCAGTATGAGTTTTTAAATGTCTTGAAAGCGTTGTCCTGTCAGCTGTCATGTATCCACACTTTTCACACAAGTAGGGCTTCACACCGGTGTGTTTTCTGAGGTGTGTGTCAAAACTTTGTTTTTGCGCTGCAGAATAGTCACACTGGTCACACCTGAAGGGTTTTTCTCCTGTATGAATTTTCATGTGCCTTGTTAACGCCGATCTGGCAGCTGTCCTGTATTCACACTCCCCACACATGTAGGGCTTCTCACCTGTGTGTCTTGTTAGAGGTTCGTCTAAATGTACTTTCTGTGCTGCAGAATAATTACACTGATCACACTTGAAGGGTTTTTCTCCTGTATGCTTTGTCATATGTTTTGATAACGTTGACCTGTCAGCTGCCCTGTATCCACACTCCCCACACATGTAGGGCTTTTTACCGGTGTGCCTTCGAAGGTGCCTTACTAAATTGTGTTTTATTGCGGCAGAAAAATCACATTGGTCACAATTGTAGGGTTTTTCTCCAGTATGAGTTTTCATATGTCGGGATAACGCTGATCTGTCAGCTGTCCTGTATCCACACTCCCCACACATGTAGGGCTTTTCACCGGTGTGTTTCCTAAAATGTCGGACTAAACATGATTTCCTTCTTGCAGAATAATCACACCGGTCACACCTGAAGGGTTTTTCTCCTGTATGCGTTTCCATTGTTTTGATTACGCCGATCTGCCAGCTGCCCTGTATCCACACTCCCCACACATGTAGGGCTTCTGACGTCTAAATTATATTTTTGTGATGCAGAAAAGTCACATCTGTTGTTTTTTTCTTGTACGAGTTTGCATGATGTTGAGATAGCAGTATTGTGAACGCCGCCAGTACAAATATATCTTCGTGTGGCAAAATTGGTACATTGGTTTTTCTCATGTATGAGATTTTCATGTATCGATGACGATGATCTGTCTCGGCTGTCCTCTATCCACACTCCCAACAGTTGTTAGGTTTCTAACCGGTGTGTTTTACTAGATGTCGGTTTAAAAATGATTTCCGTGATGAAGAATAGTCACACTTTTAGGTTTTCCTCGTGTATGGGTTTTCATATGTCAGGAAGGTGATACCTGTAAGCAGTCCAGTATCACACTCCCTACAAATGAATGGCTTTTCTCTTGAGTGTTTAAGCGTTTGTGTATCTTCAGCTGGTAGTTCCTTAAACAGACTAGTCACACTGGTCACACTTGTAGGGATTTTGTCCATAATGGAGCCTCATATGCCTGTATAGGCACTTTGGAATCCACAATACTGACGTATGTAGGGTTTTTCATCGTGACGTCATGACAGATGTTTCCTGAGCTATACTGAGTCTGCAATCTTCACTGCTGTCCATGTCTTTCTTCTAAATGGAAGATGAAATATTGGAGCAGAGGTTTGGTGTTTGATCAAAAATTCCAAAACGGCCAATTTATACCTCTATGTCTGGTAGATATAAATTTGTTGTTTTTTGTAACATGTTATGACTTTTGGGACTCGAAAAAAACAGAATTCCTTTTACGTCGCTGAACGTGAGACAAAATTTGATATAAAAAATACGCCAAAAACTTGTTACTCAAGCAACTAGAAATACGATTGGAAACAGTCAGACGTTTCAAGTAGTTGTTTCACAATACCTGTTCCCGTCAAATTTCTCGTGCTTGTAACACAGACCTGCTTGCTTGCTTCTGTCTTGAGACGTGTCTCCGAGCTGAACCACAATCTGTAATAGAATTTCATTTGCTCCACTGAAACTCCTATTTATGTTGATTGAGTGTATTAAACATGACATAAATACAAGAACCATACCATGCCTGCAACATAAAATCTAACGCAATAATGCTGTGTAAGCGCCAACTTGCCAATTTGACGCATTTAGTTAATTCATTATAATGAGTTAGATTTAGTTGATGGTGATGATGATGATTGGTGTATTAATAGAAACACACAATCTGACATGGCAGACTGAATTATTGCCAGACTTAACAAGAGGTATTAAAATCAGCCACACATAATAAAAGATTTATATTCGTACAATACATATCGTTTCAGAGATACATACGATCTGCTACCACGTGCACATTTACAAATGTTGAAGGGGTCTACAGATGGTTCAATAGTTTAGTCATGGCGGGGATGGCACTGGTTAAATATATTTCCCGCCAATTCCCTACCCCCCTGAACATCAGAGAGGAGAGCCCGATCGGGGCTGGGGCAGCAGTCAGAAAGAAAGGACTATGCACAAGGCACAGAAAGGACGGTGCCTAAGGTACAAAGGGACAGCCTGGACTGCCAGGATTTATGAGAAGTCTAGGCCTAGAAAGTGGTTTTCTTGAAATTTAGGCTTGGAAGATTCCAAGAATCAAGTGGCCTGGGCCTGTTCTGTTTCAGGAAATTGGGCTTGAAGATAGACTTCAAGACATCTGAGGACTGTCAAGACTAGGAGACGAAATTAGTCTTTTACGCCATGAGCTCACCTTGGAGGACATAAAAAAAGAATCGAATTCGTTAGGATCATGTTGCATTCCAAAACATGATCCATTCCAAAGGATGATTTGGAATAGTACGCAGTGGAATGAGTGTTGCATTCCAAAACATGATCCATTCCAAAACATAATCCTTGGTAACCACCTGTCTGGGGGTGGAGCTAAATAACACAATAGCGTTGCATAATATATTGCAACAGTCCTAGACGAGTGTCAAAATGCCCCACGAGTTGTTTCGAATACCTGTGTCACTTATTCGAAATAAATATTTCCCTTTGCTTCAAATTAGTAGCTTTTGGATATTAGCATTGTTCATGCTGTATGCCTCTTTATATTTTAACTTTCTAAACCTCCTCAGTGTTTGTCATGGCACGTCAGTCAATTAAACTTGAACACCCGCACATAGGACCGCCACTGCACGGCCAAAGCGAGGTGAAGCTCACACGCAACTGTGGCGACCATCCCAGTCACAATGTAAAAGTTCGTCATGTTTAAACAAAGCAGCAGCAACTCCACTATACACAAACTGTTCTTGTTGAAACCACATCTCAAGCCTACATGTCTGGACCACATTTTGAAATATTTTATTTCGTGTCTTTCAAACATTTTCTTTAAAAATATTTAATGGCTTTACCAGTAGGTAAAGCCATTTTTTACAGCTCAACAAGTTTTTACAAGCTGCATGCCTATTGGCTGTTGTTCTGCATAGCTGGCATGCTACACTGAGGACATGAAGCCCTATTCTTAAACAAAGGCAGTGGACAAAAACCTCAATAAAGGCTTTACCAGTAGGTAAAGCCTTTATTGTATTTCCTCATGTTTCTTCCCCTTCTTCTGCCATTTAAATGTATTCAACTTTTTTTTTTCATTCTTGGGCCAAATAACCTAAAATTCGTTATGGACGTAGAGTGGGCAAACACCCTCAGTCTGTTTTTTTTTCATTTTTTATGCATGCTTTTGAAATGTTTTTATTGAGGTTTTTGTCCACTGCCTTTGTTTAAGAATAGGGCTTCATGTCCTCAGTGTAGCATGCCAGCTATGCAGAACAACAGCCAATAGGCATGCAGCTTGTAAAAACTGGTTGAGCTGATTGCTAGGTAATTGCTGATTGGCTAATGATGATTAGATTATTGCTGATTTGAACACCTGCTACATGGGGCCAAATGGCCTGGAATTTCCAATCAACAAGCAGATACAGGGTGGCATGGGTATGTAATTTTTAAGCAGATACAGTATGTCATGGATACTGTCGAAAGTGCGAACATTTGTACTAATGACTGGCTGACCCTTGATAACACTGTATGGGGGTTTCGAGAACACTTTTACCGAAAAGCAGTGTATAAGGGTCTGGGCACTACATGTGGGTTTTGAAAACACCTAATACTGAAAAACACAACATGGGGGCTTTGTGAATACTTGCTACTCAATAGAACTGTCATGGGGATTTCGAGAATATTTTTCCGAAAATCATGTACACTGTCCATACAGACTCTGCTCCGGGGACTATCGGCGTAAGGGCCTTGCACAGAAGGATGGAAAGGCACAGGACCACCGTTCGAGACCTACAGTTTGTTTCATCTGAGCTGAGAGATTGTGAATCGGCATACAACACTGGAGATTTTGGAGGCGCACAAAATACACGGAACCTCCTGAAGAACATTTAGATAAGAAAACAAACAAAGCACAAACACCATTTACAACTAATAAAGGCAACGAAATTTGCAAGAAT